ACAATTGCATTTGGGTGAAGTCCACAGAGAGTCATCATTCAGTCACTCTGTGAGCAGCTCTGGGTCCCAGGTGCCGGGCTGGGGGCTGGGACGTGCAGGTTAACAGAACACAGCATGTCCCTGGAGAGCCCTCCATCTAGGTGACAGACAGCTCAGAAACAAAGAGTTCTTTGCCATAAAACTGTGTTACCATATCTGTCTACACACTGTGAATTTAAAATGTCACCTGCCACATCAGTAAACAAAGGATGTTGTAACCATCAAGCCATCACACTACTGCCACCCTCAAGAGTGCCCCCTGCGGGGACTCAGGATGGGGAAGAACAGGACACTGGCCTAGACAGCTAGGTGCACATCAGAGGAGTGATTTCAGTGAGCCCAGAACTTGGTAGCTTCCTGTAAACAGAAAAGTGCTAAATTCATTGATTTGAGATATCTGGGTTTTTTTTAATTAATAGTAAACTTTTGATGTTCTGACTCCCTGGTTTTTGTTGCAAAAGCCCCGATATATCCTGGCTCCCTCCTTATCTCTTCAGAGCAGTCCCTCAGAGCTGTCCACGAGCCTGTCTCCCAGGCTCAAGTCCTCAGAATATCTGCTGAATAAATGTAATTCTCAGTTTTAGGTTGTGCATTTTTTTCAGTCAACGACACACACACACACAAACTATCATGCACATACGTGTACACATATGCATGCACATACATGTACACACACACACACACCCCAAGTGCTATGGGAGCCCAAGCAAGGACCTCTCTCTACAGATTCATGAGTTTCGGGGAAAATTCAGACCATTTAGGAATCCAGGGGAGGCCCATGAACTGGAAGGCAGCACATCTCCAAAAGATGCTCAGAAGCAGGAGGACAGGCCATGGTTCTCCGTGCGGTGCTGTCCCCAGTCACAGAGGATGTGGTGTCCCCAGTCACAGAGGATGTGGTGTCCCCAGTCACAAGACGCAGCAACCCAGGGGGCTTGCCTTTTCAGCCTTTGGGGTAACTGGCCTAAGAGTAAATGTGTCTAAATTAATTGACTGGAAGCCAATACTGTTTACACTTCTGCAGCAGAAACCTGATTCTTCTCCGTCACCACGGGCATGTCCCTTTGCCTTCCAGCCGCTGGAGGCCGGGTGTGGGGCTGCACCCCGCTGGCCTTCAGGGCCTGCAGTCACCCAGCTTCCAGCCCGAAAAAAGAGCCTGCAGTCAACAACAGAGACCTCAGTGGTTTGACAGATGGGGGAGCTTACACGTCGGAAGAAGGTCCTGGAGCGACACCCCACGGAGTGCGGTGGAGGGCGGTGGGCAGGACCTGGCGGCGGTCTTGGGTTTTGGTGGGGGCGGCGGAGAGGTTAGCAGTTACAGGGGAGTTGACGTCAGGCTGGCTCATCGGTTACCAGGGAAACCAGCAGAGGAGCCACCCCATGATAGGAACAATCCCTAGCTGGGGCGGGGGCAAGACTGAAGGCGGGTCCGGCAGGTGAGTAGGTGCAGGGGACACAGGCACTGCTCCAGCGGGGGATGGACCGAGAGCAAGAGAGCCGCCCTCTTGGCGGCCTGGCCACACACGGGCCATCAGGTGTGGGTCTGCCACTAGATCAGGGCTGGGTGCTCACGCACGCATCCCAACCCCACCGCTGCTGCTTGGAGAATTCTCACAGAGGGGCCTTTGGACGTGAAGACCAGTACAGCTTCACCCATGCCTGGAACACCTTCCACCCACAGCGGCTCCCGGGCCAGGGCGACAGCCAGACCTTCCTGGGGTCTTCCTGCACAGCCCTGGGCCGTCTCTCCAGGTGAGGAGTGGAGGAGATGGACTTCAGCTGGGGCCTCACCTCCCAGCCAGAAACCCTGCTATTAGAAGAGGGAGGTAGTGACAGCTTTGGTGGCCAAGTACAGTATTCACGTTTTTGGCCAATTTTTAACACTCTGTTTCCAAACTTTCTGTAACATTGTTAGGTCTTCTATAATTCTTATAAAAATGCTTAAACACAGCTATATCAAATACTAAAATATCAGAAAGACAAACAGACAGACAGACAGACAGAGACGGCATTTCCAGGCACTGTCCTGGACTTCTGGGCACAGATGGGGGGCTCCTTCATTTACTAACTTGGGACACAGATGCCCCACAGTTGCTTCTTCAGGCCCAAGCCACTAGGGGGAGACAGCCCACCTCATCTATGGCGTGTTTCTCTGGCTGTTGCTGGGCTGCAGGTTAGGTATGCTCCAGCCACAGCCATCTCTCTTGGCTCCTGCTCTGGCCTGGCTGTCTGGTAGGGTAGGTATGAAGCTATATCCATGGGAGAAAATCAACAAGATGGCAAACAGCTTTACCTACGAACTTCAAGCCAGCAAATGTCTCCACTGGGACCAAACGTATCTAGAGGACAGAGAAGTTGCTCATCACAACTATGTCTCAGTGGGTTCCAACTGGTGGCCCAAAGTCTCTTTAGACTCAAATGCCAAAGACTGTAGCTTTACAGTTAGTTACTTGCTTTTGCTCCTGCTGGTATGTGGTGCCCCACTGGCCTGATGGGTGGTCTTGGGAAATCCTCTTCACTTTTACACCTTGGTTTTCCCATCTGTGGAATGGGACTAGTGATAATCCCTATGTCGTAGGGTTGCTGTGATGATGCAACAGGCAAGTATGTGAAACGGGCTGAGAATTGTGCCAGGCTCCCTCCTGGTACAGGCTGAGTCACTGGCTGGCATTAGCATCACCCAAGACCTTTTGAAAGATGTAAGATGACAAATATTTCCCAACAAAATTCAGGAGCAGTTAAAACAGAAGGAAACCACAACAAGCTGCTGACCCCAAAGCCAAGTTCTCACAACTAAGATCATCACATGTGAAATCTTTTCTCTTTTCACAGCTCTATCTTCAATACCTGAGCTACCACCACTTTCCTTCTTTTTTTGATTGGAGTATTATTTTATTTTGAGCAGGGTAATTTTAAATGAAGGTATATGGGTTTCTTTAACAAAAGATTCTGTGCCATGGTACCATTATAAATGGAAACCTGTAGAGCTTGATGGCTTCTTTCTTTCATCCTATAGAACATGGTTTACTGAAGTCTAGCTGATGTAATGCGATGTTAGTTTCAGGTGTACAACATAGTGGTCTGACGTTTAAATACAATGCAGAACGATCTCATGGTAAGTCTCGTTATCCTCGGTCCCCATACAAACTCATTGACGTGTTACTGACTATGTTTGTGCTGTGTATTACATTCCCAGGGCTTATTTATTTTATAACTGGAAGTTTATACCTCTCAGTCGCCTTCACCCACTTCACTCAGCCATCAACCACTCCCTGCTTGTGACCGTCTGTGTATTCTCTGTATCTATGAGACTGTTTCTGTTTCATTATGTTTGTTCATTTGTTGCTTTTTAGATTCTACATATAAGTGAAATATTTCTTTCATTTTTTAATTTGTCTTTGTCTGATTTATTCACCTACCATTATATCCTCAAGGTCCAGCCATGTTGTTACAAATGGCAAGATTCCATTCTTTTTTATGGCTGAATAATATTCTGTTGTGTATATATACCACATCTTCTTTATCCATTCATCTGCTGATGGACACGTAGGTTGTTTCCTTATCTTGGCTGTTGTAAACAGTACTGCAATAAACATAGGAGATATATACATTTTTGAATTAGGGTTTTTGTTTTCTTTGGGTGGACACCTAGAGTGGAATGCTGGATCATATGATAGTTCTATTTTTTAATTTTTTGAGGACCCTCCATACCGTTTTCCATAGTGGCTGCACCAATTCACAGCCCCACCAACAGGGCACAAGTGTTCCCTTTTCTCCACACCCTTGCCAAAACTTGTTATTTGTTCTTTTTGATGATAGCTATTCTGACCGGTGTGAAGTGATATCTCATTGTGGTTTTGAATTGCATTTTCATGCTGACTAGTGATGCTGAGCATCTTCCCAGGTGCCTGTTGGCCATCTGTGTGTCTTCTTGGGAAAGATATCTGTTCAGGTCTTCTGTCCATTTTTTTGATTGGGTTCTTTGTTTTTTGCTATTGAGTTGTAGGAGTTCTTTGTCTATTTTGGATATTAACCCCTTATTGGATATTTTATTTGCAAATATCTTCTCCCATGCAGTAGGCAGATTTTTGTTTTGTTGATGATTTCCTGCACTGTGCAAAACATGTTTTAGTTTGATGTAGTCCCATCTGTTTATTTTTGCTTTTGTTGCCCTTGCCTGAGGAGACAAATCCAAAAAAAATACCAATACATATGTCAAAGAGGTACTTGCCTATGTTTTCTTCTATGAGTTTTGCAATTTCAGGTCTTGTATTTAGTATTTTAATCCATGCTGAGTTTGTTTTTGTGTTGGGTGTGAGAAAGTGGCCCAGTTTCATTCCTTCGCATGTAGCTGGGAAGACTGTCTCTCCCCATTGCATGTTCTTGCCCCATTTGTCACAGGTTAATTTCCCATATTAGTGCGTGGGTATATTTCTGGGCTCTCTGTTCTGTTCCCCTGATCTGTGTGTCTGTTCATATGCCAGTACCACTATAGTTTGGAACCAGAGAGGGTGCTACTTCCAGCTTTGTTCTTTCTCGAGATTGCCTTGGTGAGCTACCACTACCTTCAAAGAGAGCTGGGTAGAAACCCTTAAAATAAAAATGGTCTTGTCACTTTCTGACATGTATAGAGATCTGTGCAGTGACTCTGATTCGGTGAGGGCCACCCAATTACAGTTTGCCCTAGCTACCCACCCCCCATCTTCCTCCATTCCCCTCTCACTCAAGTCACGGGAGGCTTCCTGGAGCCACAACATTCCCTGGATACCTGGGTCCATCTCTGACCTCTTTGAAAGTCACCCATCTTTCCCACTGTTGCCTCAAAGCAAAGCAACAGATTCATATTCTGATGAATTTGTTCATGATAAAGCACCACTGGGCAGCAGTTACTTACCAAGTAACCTTCTTCTGTTGTGTGTGTGTTGTGGGGACCGCAGAAGGCGTGTGGGTCATGGGAGGGGTCCCCAGCCCTGCAACTGCATGGTAGATTAATGGGTCCATACAAAGAGGTAGGGAAGCCTCTGGCTTCTTGATGGCAGGAGACTGTCATCAGTATTGCTGTGTGCGGTCTCGGTGGTCCTGTGTTATCCCAGTACTTTCTTATTCTGCTTCTGAGTGTTGTGATGTCATAAGAGATAGCGCTGATCTGCTGAGAACCCTGTTCTAACAGAAAAATGCAAAACCCACAATGTCTACAGGAGAGATCAAAGTAATCCAGCCTCTTGAACGAAACTTACACAATTTCAATTTACACAAGCAGTCAGGATTCATTCAGACGAGCTCTGGCTTTTGAACACACTAAGAAGGTGTATGTCCCCTGGGAGCAAGAGACAACAATACATCAAGCACCAAAGGCTAGGAAGACATAACAGAAATAAACCTCAAAACTATAATCACATAGAGGTTAAGTTCCCACATGTGAAAAGAGATCTTGGTAGAAAATTTGGGTCCTGTTCTGGTGCCTGGATACGGATGTGCAGACAGCGGCATCTGCAGTGATGCCTGCAGGTCCAAGCTGTCACGTCTTTGCTGAGTGGCTGCAGCTTGGGCCGCTCTGCATGGGAGGAAACCGGATGGACAAGTAGGGAAAAGGTAGCCCTTTGGGAGGTGTTCCTGCTTCTGCTCTTAGTGAAGGTCAGAAAGGACTTTCAGGGTCATTTCAGTCCATCGCCCCTCTGGCTGGTTAGAGGCGTTAGAAGAAAACTGTTCTACTTGTAGAGGAATGAAAAGATGCTCCTTCTTTTGGCTCTGCTGCTCGAAGTTTCCACACGGGACTCCACGGAAGGGCAGGGATGGCTCCATCTTGGCAGGAACTCAAGGTGGTAACTTGCTTTTTCTCTTCAAGTTTTCAGGTCCCTCTAAAAATGAAAACATAGGTATTATCTTTTTTTTAGCACTTCAAGCTGTCTCTCCAACATTAAGTTCGAGTGAGCACCTGCATTTTATCCTGAGTGGAGCATCCGCTGTGTTTACAGCTGATGGGGACAAGGTTGGCCTCCACTCCACGCAGATCCCTAGTAAGTGGGAAACAGCTTCACTCCCCACATGCACCTCCACCAAGCCACGCCCCCGCCTTCTCCATCACCGGCCTGAGACTTCTTCATAGTTTCCACGTGAACTTTGCAGCTCTTAGCATCAGTGTTCCTATGTCCCGTTTGAGTCGCCACCGCCTTGTTTTGAGCCCCCAGCAGTGAGAGGAAACGACTTGCTGAAAAGGCAAGTGTTTCAGCCACAGTCTCACCGGCTGAAAAACGGGTGTGAGCCCTTGGAAGGCTGTCAGCAGAAACAACCAAAATATTCATCAGGAGCAACTGCAAACGCAGCCCTGCTGGGAAGCTCTCACAGAAGGGAAGCAACGGCAGGGAAGCCTCCTCTGGCTCAGCCGCAGGCAGTTGAAGAGAGACTTGAGAAAGCGCGTGCTTCGCACAGGCGTCAGCCGGTCGGAGGCGTCAGGGAAGCCGTCCACCGTCCAGACCGGCCTGCTCCTCCCATCTGGGCGGCGCGGGGCCTTTTCTAACATCCTCCCCACTGCCTCCGAGGGGGCCCCGAAGATTCCGGCATCCGAATCTCCAGGGCCTCCCGACCAGACCCTGCGGAGAAGGTCCTGGTATAATGGTACAACAGGAAAGGACAAATTTGACTCCGTGTTGGATCTGTTTCTTTGGCTCTAACCCTGCGCCCTGTTTCCCAGGCTCGGTCCTGCCAGCTCTGCACCTTTTGTAAAAGAATGTTGCCAACAGCCTGAAATACACAGGAGAGCCCGTTCTCAAGGCTCTGCCCTTTAAGGATAGTAACACTCTTGCACTCACATGAAGATAACAAGCTGCAGAATGGAAAATAACGTTTGTTTTGTTGGAGGTCTACAGGGGCACCACGATGGGCACCACATGGACGGCTGCTAGAACAAAGGATTCGAAGAACAAAGAATTCCTGCACCAAGAAGTTTGCAACAACCAACCACACACAACCTCTCCTCTGTTTAGTATAAAAGGAGCCTGAATTCTGACTTGAGTAAGATGGTTCTCCAAGACATTAGTCTGCCATCAGCTTGGTCTTCTGGCTTTCCGAATGAAGTCGCTATTCCTTGCCCCAACACCTCGTCTCCTGATTTATTGGTCTGTCCTGCGGCGAGCAGAACGGGTTTGGGCTCAGTAACAATAGGAAGGAACAAATCTGACTCCAGAGTAGATCCGTTTCTTTAGCTTTTAACCCTTTGTTTCCTGTGCTTAGTCGGGCTGGTTCTGCACCTTTTGTAAGAGAATGTGGCCTGGAGCCTGAAATGGACAGGCGAGCCCATCCTCAAGGCTCTGCCCTTTAAGCATAGACCACCTTTCCACTCATGGAGAGATAAAAAGTTGCAGGACAGAGAATAACGTTTGTCTTGTTGGAGGTTTATAGGAACATCACGGCCTGACCCACGTGGACAGCTGCAGGAACAAAGGATGCTGACACCAAGGCGTCTGCAACAACTGACTACACCCCCTCCTTCTAGTATAAAAGGAGCCTGAATTCTGACTTGGGGAAGATGATTCTCCAGGACATTGGGCCTCTGTCTTCTTGGTCTGCTGGCTTTTGGAATAAAGTCATTATTCCTTGCCCCAACACCTCGCCTTGAGGCGAGCAGAACACTGGGGGTCCTCGGTGTTAGCGAGCAGCTAGGGGAGTGCTCTGCGCCCCGGGCTGGAGATCTGTCTCTGTGCTGTTGGCGTGTGCGGGGCTGCAGCCACGGTTCTCATTAGACTCAGAAAGCAGGCTGCTGGTTGCCAGAGGCTGGGAGGCAGGGAGCTGGGAGGGACTGCTTAGTGAAGTCTTATTTCCACGCAGTGAAAATGTTTGCAACCAGACAGAGGTGAGGCTGTACAACACCACGAGCAGGCTAAACGCCACAGCGCTGCTCACTCTAAAGTGGTTAACTTTATGTGTTAAAAAAAAAAAAAGAAAAAGGTATTTGAAATTGGTCCAAGGCCTGATGTGGGGCTCAGAGCTGGCGGCAGGTCAGCAGACATTTGCTGAGTGTCTGCAAGGCACGAGGCCAGGCTGTGAGGCCCCTGCTCCCCGGGTGGCTGTCACCACCTGTCCTCCAAGCCATCACGCTGGGGCCTGGAGTAGAAGGGGGCACTCCCTTTCTCCCACCATCCCCAGGGCTCCCCCCGCTGGCCCCGCTTCTGCCAAGTCAGCCTCACTGTTCCTCCTCCAGCCGCCCCTCCAGGGATGCGCCCCCCTCCCCAACATAGAACTGCCCAGGCCTCTTGTGATCCAAGACTCCCCACCCCATCCTGACTCCCAGCAAGGTCCAAACTCCTCAGTGGGTGCTGGGGCCTCCAGGTCCAAACCGTCTGCCACCTGTTTCCACATACACACATGCCCCCCTGACTGGGCCCCATCCTCCAGGGCTCTTCCCCGCATGTGCCCGACCGCTGCCATGCCCACCCCACCCAGACCTCGCCCGTGACACTGGCTGTGCTCAGTCCGACACTCAGGAGCGCAAAGTCACTGCTTGATGAATCAGTAATTAATTGGTCACTTCCTGGCTCTGAACAGCAGGACCAGGGTCCCACGGAAAGGATGCTAGAGGTATAAGGAGGGGCCCCAGCAAGAGCTGGAGGGGAGGAGCTGCAGCACCCACCTCCATCTGCTCGTGAATCCAGTCCAGGAAGGAGGTGATGCGGGTGTAGACTCCAGGCTTGTTCACCTCGGCACAGCCGATGCCGAAGCTCGTGGCTCCCACCAACTTCCACACCCGCCTCTCCTGACACACCAGGGGCCCCCCGCTGTCTCCCTGGAAAGGGACAAAGGACACAGAATGGGCACTGACACCACGTGTCCCTTGTCCTCGGGGCGGGATTCCCCCTGCACCATGTCACGAACGACCGCTCTGTGTTCACCCTCCCAGGCCTTCTAGGCCTGACTCGCACTCCTGATACTGGGCCCTTGTCCTGGGGGGATGGTCTCCCTCCAGCTGTCTCCCTGCGAGATCTAGATACACTGCATCCTCAAAAGTCAAGGCAGCTTGGGGAGCGGAGGGGTGCTGTCAGAGGGAGGGTCTGCCTGGCCAGGGACATCGGCTGGACCAGGCAGTGCTGGAGGCTGGAGTCTTGCCCACTGTGGCCTTGGAGGCTGGATTCCCCGGTTCCCGCCTGCGCTCTGCCCTCACTGCAAACTCTGAGACCCCTCCCACCACCCAGCACCAGGGCAGCGGGGAGCGCCACCAGGCAGGAAAGGGAGTGGTATCTTGAGTAAACTTCTTCCCCACACCCTGTAAATTTGCTTTTCAGTCAGTCACAGGGAAATGCTGGCCGTGGCCTGTCCCACAGGCTGGGTCACCAGACCAGAGCCTCACCCCGCCCACTGCGGGGCCCCCAGAGGTCGCCCAGGGCCCCTACCTGGCAGCTGTCCACACCGCCTTTCAGGTAGCCTGCACAGAGCATGGAGGGGGCGATGACACCCCCGTACACCTCCCTGTGGTTGCAGATCTTGTTGGAGATCAAAGGCACAGCGGCGTGGTTGAGGACCGGGGAGGCGTCGCCTGGGTCAGAGCGAGGGGGACTGTGGGTGAGGTGGAGCCCCGCCGGGAACTCAGAGGGCGTGCATCTCGGGTGGGGGGTACACGCCTGGAGGAGGACAGCATTAGAGCTCTGCTCCCTAGTGAGTGGGCTGGGGGGACCCCCTGCTTCATGTCAGGGCCACTCAGTTCCCTAAGGTCACCCACGTGGGAGGAGGTGGGGGCAGCAACCATAGCCAGCATGGTCCCCCCATGGCTGGTCCCCGCCAAGCACTTGATCCCACACCAGCCTGTTTCATTCTCAGAACAACCCAGGTTACAGAAGGGAGGTTGAGGCTCCAGGAAGGTCTCAAACACACACAGCTTTTTGGCGGAACCTTGGGGTGGTCCGCAGGAAAATGCCCTCTCATCTTTCTTTTTCTCTTGCTACAAATTTTAATAGAAGTTCCTTAAAGCACATTTTAAAAAAAAAAGAGTAACTAGCAAGTCAAACCCATGAGATGAGAGACAGTCGTTCTGAGGCTGCAGCTGAAGTTAATATACAGGGTAAGAAAGTGAATCCCAAGTTCCAACTCCCGGAAACAGTGACCGTGTCACCTTCCATAGCAAAAGGGACTTGGCGGATGTGATAAGACCTTGAGATGGGACAGGATCCCGGCTCACTGGGTGGGCCTTAAAGGTAACCGCAAGGATCCTCAGAGGGCTCAGAAGGCGATGTGGTGGCGCAAGCAGAGGTCAGAGAGGAGAGAGGTTGGAAGAGGCGGTGCTTCTGGCTTTGAAGGTGGAGGGAGGGGTGGCAGCAAGAGATGTGGGGGCTCTGGAAGCTGAAAAGGCAGGAACAGAGTCTCCCTGAGAGCCTCCAGGAGGGCCGCAGCCTCCCAACACTGACCCCAGCCCGCTGAGATGGAGTTACGACTTCTGACCGCCAACGCACGTGGGTTGTTTAATTTGGGGATTGTTTGTTGCAGCAGCAACAAGACACTAACACATCTGCAGTGGGTCAGCCTCACTACCCACCCGAAGGGGTCGACACCCTCTAACTCAACCTATTTGTAAACCCGTTACTCTTGCGTGTTAAAGGCCCACCACCAGGCACACCCCATCACCGTTCCTCTCTTGTCTCAGCAGCTGGAGTGGGGGCGTCTGCACCACCCCGACCCCCTGACAGGGACGTGCGGGCGGGGACATTGCACAGGGACCCTCGAGGGGAGCGTGAACCCAGCCCTCTCGGTTCTGGGCGCTCTGGACTCAGGATCTTGACTTCTGACCACTGACCTCCATCCTCTGTGGCCCCCCATCCTGACGTCCAGCACATCTTCCCATCGGGGAAGTTCTCTTCAGAGTTGGGCAGACAGACTGGTTGGATCATCTCTGTTTGAAGAGGAAAGAGCAGCTCTCAACCCCGTGGGAGCCGCAGTCCAAGAAAGCCGTCTCATAAGGGACCATGTCTGCAGAGGGCTCGGACCGTTTCCCAAAGAAAGGCCAGGCCCCTAGTGGTTTGCAAGGTGTTAGCCCAAAGCAGGGACTCTCCCCTGCCAGAGCTCTAAACCTTTAAAACCGCCTTGGACCTTGCAACATGAGTGAGCCTAGACCGGGACTCAGCATGCTTTCTGTAAGGGGCAAGAGTAAGCATGTTAACTTTGCAGGCCACATAGACTCTGTCTCAGCCGCCCCTCTGCCACCGTGGTGTGGACGCAGCCGCAGGCAGCAGGGCACAAGCCGCCGGCCTGTGCGCCAACAAGACTATATTTACAAAAGCAAGCAAAGGGTCAGATTCAACCTGGGGGCCACAGGCTGCCTGCCCCTGGTCTAGACTGCGGGCACGTTGCTTCGCAGAGCATCGCTCCATGAGTCTTCCCATCTTCCTGCCACGTCTGGAGGCCACAAGCCTGCCTTTCCACGTGGGCTGCGTCACACAAGCCTGCCACCAAAAACTGCCAGGGGCCTTCACGCAACTGCATCCTGAGATAGGCTGAGCTTTTCTGGGTATGACAGTCATGGAAAGGCAGAGAAGGGACAAAGGGGCTCATTTTAATTTTTGTCCAAGTGCAAGTGTTGGCATCTCATTGTTTTATAATGAAATATCATTAATAATAATCTACAAATAAATACCACCAGCACAATATCTATGTTTCTCTAGAAATACTGTTTCAGGGTGTCACACAGAGAGCTCCGTGTGCTTCAGGATAAATGCCCTGGTGATGCTGCAGGTCACACCTGCCACTGGCCCTGAGCCAGGACTCTGCTCCAGCAAGGACCTGCCTGCTGTCCCCTGCCTGCTCTCCAAGCTGCTGTCACCCTTGGGATGGAGAAGGGGACTTCTGTTTACTTAAGGGTAGGCTTGAAGGCTTCATTGCATCTGCAGAAACTTTGGAAAGTTCTGTCCTGTGTGATTTTCCTGGTGTTTTTGTAACCTTCAGACGTCAGGACATGACATCTCTATGGAGGAACGGAGCCACTGAGCTCAGCAGCTGGTTGGGAGAGAATGTCTCTGAGTAACTTCCAGTTGCCGAAGTTGCCCAGTAAGTTCTAGTTTGTAAAGAGAGGACCACCGAGGACCCCACTACAAGCTGGCTGGCCTGGGAGGCCCTCTCCCCCTCGGCCAAGATGGAGACACCAGGCAGGTGGGAGGCACTGGCAGGGGACCTCGCCAACCGAGGGAAAGCTCTTTGTCACCACGGGCCTGAGACTCCCTTCTACCTTGCGCAGGCAGCCAGGTGGCCCGGCCTGGGGCGGTCCCTTTAATCTCCGGGTGGCACCAGCAGAGAGAAAGCACCACAAGAGAGGGCCTTGGAGGCCCCGAGAAACCAAGCTGGCCGCAGGGGAGCCACAAAGGCTCTGAAGTCAAGTAGCCGTCAGAGCCGCAGCCGCAAAAGCAGGCAGACCTGCACAGAGAGCCTGAGCAGGGCGACCGCCGCTGCGACAGAGGACGCACGCAGGGCCCGGCGTCTCCTAACGGTTCACGTGTCCAGAACACGACTGAGAAGTTCTCATCACACCAAGAACCAAGAAAATCACGGCGTTAATGAGACGGGACAGTCAGCTGAGGCCAAGGCTGAAACGAGTCAGATTCGGGGTCATCTGGTGGAGACTGTAACGCAGCCTCCCTCAAACGCTTCCACGAGAAACGCAAATTCTCTTGAAACAAATGATAGTGACAAAATGAGAGAGACCCAGACGTACCACTGAAGGAGACAGGCCCGGCCAGCTTCATGAGCGCGATGTCATTGCCCAGTCTCTTTGGCTTGTACTTGCTGTGGCGGACGATTTTTTCCACCAGGTGGGAGGGGGCCGGGCTGTCCAGCAGGGAAACCAGCCCCACCTGGATAGTCCACGACTTGGGGAGGTAGAGACTGAAACGAGAGCGCCCCGAGCACCTGAACCCATGGACCGCGGGAG